CTGCCAATCTCTGATGAATCGTTGAGATGGAGGTAGGAGGCTCCGAGCCCGCTCCAGGTCTGTTTATATTTATCGAATACGTAGGCTTTGCAAGAGGTTTTTAGGATAGATTCTTCATTTTCCTCTCCTGTTACCTTGTCAACTTTAGCAAGTTCCGCCTTAAGTCGTCGCTGTTCCTCCTCAACTTTTGCTGCAGAATCTTCTAAACACTTAGGGCGTGATTCGCCACGTGACGTAACGATTTGAGCAAGTTTGGTAAATAGACAGTTCGAGTTAACTGGCTCAGACTCCGTAGCAGAATCCTGCAGGGAATCGTCTTCCTTAGAGGCTGCCTCCCAGAGATTAAGAGTGGCACTTTGAAGCGAATTTGCATTCGTGACACGGGACGACATTCCTTCACCAAAAACGAAGCCCGAAGGTGCGACACTTGGGGCATCATTCAGGGGTGGCTGGCTTGGCATGATAGAGGTAATAGCAATCGGAAGATTTGAATCTTTTTGACTAATATTATCTTGTTCTAGTGTAGTCGGAGATTTCGCTTTCGATTTTAAGCATTCCACAGCAGTCGACAAAGCAGACTGCCTGAATATCATTGCTTTTTTCGCGGCCGCGGGATTATTCGAGAAAACTTGTCGGTTGACTGTTTCGTCCATAGAGAACATTTTCGTGCCAGCAGATCTCTTATCTATATTAATAATATATTCAATATTCGTAAATAGGAAACCATAAGCCTAAGCCCTACTGTGATACAAATTTTTGTACATGAATTAATGAAATTTAAGTAGATATCTTCATATTCAAAAGTACTAATTATTTAAAGAACAAATATTAACTATAAAACTTCATTCTAATTTAATAATAGCCTAATAATAACCAAGTTTATGATAAATTAAATTACCGTATCTAGGTTCAAACTAGCGCACCAGGCAGAATTAAATCGCACGCTTAAATTCATCTCCAAAATGTAGACTAAAAATATAGGTTATCCATATTTTTGTTTTATGTAATTTATTTTAAAATATATATTTTAGTTATTATCTATTTTTGTTTTTAGTTAATATTTTACTGAAATGCGACGTTAAATATCAATGTCAAGTCAAGAATTTCCATTTCTAATCGCTTCCCATACCTTTTTTCTAAACCTACTATGTCAACCAATGATTTATTTATTTTTTTCATGCTTCCGATTTGGAGAAATAAATTTATGAACATGAATTGAATTCGACTGCAGCTGTCTTTTTACATATATAATTTAAAATACGATTATCTAATGTTAAAGCATGTTTAAATACACGCTACATTCTATTGCGTGTATGTAATCTTAATGTCATAAAATTGAGGTTGCATCAACTAGACTCAATAACATTCCAGACTCCTTATCTTGCTATGTGGTTCATCATGCTTGTCCTCCTTACTCTGCTTAAGCGTATCAATCAGCTACTACTAGCTAATACTCAATTTCCTGCATGCGCTATTGCACTCAAAATATTGGCTGTTTTGCCGATTTCTATAGACTTTCTAATTGTCCGCTTTGATGATAAGCTTTGCAACCCACAAAGCATTGTGTTTTACCAGTCTATTGTGTGTTCCGTACTAACCATGGGCTTAGCAAACTCATACTTTTAGATCTACACGCCATTACAAGCGGCTTGGATTCTTATGATCTCTTCTTAATCGTTTAGCATGTCTCCCTCCATAAACATAAAACGTTGCGTCTCCCTGATCTAGAAAGAAGGTTCGAAAATTCATGTAAAGGCTTGACTGTAGAAAGTGTTCGTTTCTTTTTATACTGATATTATATTTCCTAAGTAGATCATCTAATTTTTGCGCAAGTAGAGATAAAGACAAAATTATGAACCTGGTAAAATGGCTTACCTGTCTATCAAGCCATAACTAACAACCTCTCCTAAGCCTGTTAATGAGTATAGAAACTTAATTAATCTCCATGTGTTATTGTTACAAAAATATTATATGTTTCAATCGAATGATTTCCTGCCTACTTCAACCTATGTCTATTAAACGTGGGCTCCTTGTTAGCCTTGATTCCAGAGCACCAATATTAACCATATATGTATGATTAAATAAGAAATTAATAAAGAAATCCGTGACTGTGGGTTTCTAATAAACGAACCATAGGAGCATCCTTAGCCGATTGGTATAAAAATCTTACTAGAAGGCGCTGTCTTACGAAATTTTTTACTGCAGCAGTCTAGTTTAAACATTTTAATCCAACCATTTGACGACAAGAGTAGATCAATCAAATTTCTCCTTATTCCACCCTTCCTCTATTACATTACGTATGCATATACTGTGAGGAAAAATTTAGGCCTGCTGTAATTTATAACTTAAAAAGCTGTTTTGAAAACCTTATTTTAATCGTAAATATAATTTTATTTGTTCTTTATTACTGGTGTTAAACTTTTTCCGGATAATCTTCTAAGAAGATCAAATTAGCATTGGATATTAAGAAGGCTGTACCAAAGTTGGGCAAAATATATAGAAAAGTCAAAGCTGCTGTCAACATTTTCTCTTGAAACAAGCAGCAGAATAAGATAGTTAACTTATTTTATCAAAACTCAAAACGTTAAGGCGTTGATCAAATTCCAAAGGAAATTGGTCATTGACACTAATCGGCTAGATATAAACTCAAAGGACACTGGAAAAACGAACGATGC